GGCGAGACCACGTCCGCTCGCAGCCGGCACCTCCCCACCAGCACCGAGCCTCGGCCCTGCTCATTTCTGGAAGGGGGAGGCTCTGAAACGCCCCATACCCAGAAGCACCCCCCAAGGGTTGGGATGGGGACCGGGTTTGTTTCTTGCTGCCCTTGTGCAGCTCCTCCTGAGCATCAGAGGTTTCGGTGCTGCTTGGGCCGGGCTGGGGCAGGCACCGTGCATCTGACGCCTTCTGCTTCTCTTCCAGCCTGGACGGCGGGGAGCTCTTCAGCAGAATTCAGGACAGGGGAGACCAGGCCTTCACAGAACGGGGTATGGAGCCCACTGGGGTCTGGAGTTCTGTCTTTGGACCGTGTCTTGATGGGTGCAGGAGTGCCTCTGGTCCAGCCCATTCCCTCAATCACTGTTTTGAATCCCCAGCAAGGCTTTGCACGTGGGGAGTGAGGAACGTGGCTGTGAGTGGCTCTGCTTTGTGTGCTCACTTGAGAGCAGGGTTAGGGGATGTTTTCTCAGCTGCCCCCGAGCCCCGTCCATCCCACGCCAGCACATGCAGGAGCTTCAGTGATCTCCAGGAGCACCTCCCTCCCTCAAAAGATGAAGTCCAGGGGCTGTGGTTCTCATAAATCTCATCCCCCTCTGCTCTTGTGGCCAGAAAACGCCTCTGCACGGCTGAAACCCTGAGCCTGTTGCCCCCTTGGCTTCCCATCCTATGGGGAAAGCTTTCCCAGGTGCTTTCCCTGCAGATTTGGGGTCCCCAGCCCCAGAGCAAGCCCTTCCTTGGGGCTCATGCTGTTGGGTACAGGGGTCAGGGATGGAGCGTGCCCCATCCCTTCCCATGGGAGTTTCTCTCCCATTTGCTGCATGCTCCTGACCCAGGGGTGCTTTGCTTGAAGAGGCTTCCTCTGCTTCAGGCAGAGGAAACCCCTTTGGCCTCAGCCAGGCTATTTGGCCCCTGGCTTGTGGAGTGCTGCTTGTTTTGCTGATAAAGGCTTCTGATGTTTGGCTTGTGGGGGTTTTCTTTTGTCTTCAGAGGCTTCAGAGATAATGAAGAGCATTGGGGAAGCCATCCAGTACCTGCACTCGATCAACATTGCGCACCGGGACGTGAAGGTACCACGCTGCACGCTCACCAGCGGTGCTGAGCCCTGCTTGGCAGTGCCCAGCCTGCTCCGGCTCTTCTGCTCACATCATCTTTCCTGTGTTTCCACAGCCAGAAAACCTCTTGTACACCTCCAAAAGGCCCAACGCTGTGCTAAAACTCACGGACTTTGGCTTTGCTAAAGAAACCACCACGCACAACTCCTTGGCCACCCCGTGCTACACGCCGTACTACGTGGGTAAGTGGCTGGGGGGGTCTGAGCTTGTAGGTTTGCAGGGCTGGAGGAGGTTTAGATGGTCCAACGTGCAGCCCATCACCTCTGCATCCAGCCTGGAGCCTTCATCGCAGCGTGGTGGTGGCGGCAGCTCCTGTCTGGGATGCTTGGGACTGGCTGCTGCAGGGTTTGGTGCTCGCTGGTGCATGCAGCCTGCAGCTCCTGCCTCTGCTGCCTGCATGGCCCTGCTGCAGCTCCATGGGATGCTCAGATCCCTCTCTCCCGGTGCTGCCGCTTGGGCTCAGGACTTTGTTTCTCTCTTTGCCAGCCCCGGAGGTGCTGGGCCCAGAGAAGTACGACAAGTCCTGCGACATGTGGTCCCTTGGAGTCATCATGTACATTCTGTAAGTGCAGTGGCTCCTTCTCCATCCTGCCACGGTCAGAAGGAGGGATGCAGCTTCCGAGCTGGCTGCTGGGGCTGAGCCTTTCCTGGCTGTGCTGTTCCTGCTCCCAGCACTGCCCCGTGCCCCTCTGGTGCTGTTTTGGGCTGACGTTGACTCTGTGCTCCCTCTCCTGGTGCAGGCTCTGTGGGTACCCCCCCTTCTACTCCAACCACGGCCTGGCCATCTCGCCCGGCATGAAGAAGCGAATCCGAATGGGCCAGTACGAGTTCCCCAATCCCGAGTGGTCCGAAGTGTCGGAGGAAGGTAAACGTGGTCCCCAAGCTGAGGTGTCCCTTTGGGGTCAGCCCTGTGTCCAGCAGCGTGGGGCATGTTGTGGGGCACCTCTTGGTGAAGCAGCAGCTTCAAGAGGCTTTTGCTGAAGGGTTTGATCAGGGTGAGCTCTGTGCCATGGAGGGGATGGGAGGTGCGTGGTGGCATTTTGGGGCTGCTGGCTCAGGTTTGGAGCGTGGGGAAAGCCCTGCTGGGAGCTGCTAATGCACAAACCCTTCCAGTTAAGCAGCTGATCCGCAACCTGCTGAAGACAGACCCGACTCAGCGCATGACGATAACAGAGTTCATGAACCACCCCTGGATCATGGTAAGTGTGGGGTTGGTGAGGTGAGGGGATGGGGATGATGCTGGGGATGGGGATGATGCTGGGGATGGGGATGGGGTGGGGATGAGGATGGAGCAGGGATGGAAGGGAATGCCTGTGGCTCCCAACTCACGCTCCTCCACTCTCTCAACAGCAATCCATGCAGGTGCCCCAGACCCCACTGCACACCAGCCGTGTGCTGAAGGAGGAGAAGGATCTATGGGAGGATGTGAAGGTAAAACCTCTCTTGCCTCTGAAACACTCTGCACCCCCGATACCCCAGGGGGGCTGCCCACTTCTGCCTTCTCATTACTAACCCAGGCTCGTTTGGGCTCGGTGCATCCTGGGGAGATCAGTGCTTGGGAAGGGGCTGCAATAATTGGCAGTGGAGCATTGAGCCCCTGCTGCAGCTCAGTCCCATGGCGGGGGGATACCTGCCCTGGGGATCCGGGAGCGCTGTGCCCATGCAGGGCTTTGCTGATGCGGCTGCCTCCTTACGCGCAGGAGGAGATGACGAGCGCCTTGGCCACCATGCGAGTGGACTACGAGCAGATCAAGATCAAGAAGATCGAAGATTCCTCCAACCCTTTGCTGATGAAGAGGCGGAAGAAAGCGAACCCGCCGGAGCCTGCTGCGCTGCCCCACTGAGGGTGCCCCCTGCCCGCCCTCCACAAAGCAATAACTATATATATATATTTTTTAAGGAAAACACAAAAAAAGACTGTTCTATGCGCGCATGGGATTCAGACCTTTATACCAGACTAGTTATTTTTAGCTACTCACCCGTGTTTCTGACCTTCCTGGTAAGATTCCCCCCTCCTAAATCAGATCCACACACTGCGGCCGGGGGTTCGGCCTCTAGGTGAAAGCCGGCTGGAAATTGGAGTTTCTCTTCTGTTGTGAAACGGTTTTGATGCTGATTTTCTTTCTGTTCCTTCCTCTCCAAAGACCTGGCAGTTCCTGTGGTGACCTTTTTAGGGTATAGAACTATAAATATTTTTTAAAAACTACTGTAGAGCTGAAAGACAGCGTGGTCCCTGTGTGGGTGCGGGCTAGAGATGGGCTCCAGGCTTGGGAGTGGGATGGGGAAGGAGAGCTGCCTTCTCCCTCGTCCTGCTGTGCGTGGCAGGGCTGGCATGGGGCGGGGGTCCCCATGGCCACCGTGCTGCTCTGATGGCCTGGAAAACTGCTGCTTTTAAAGCATGGTAGCCAAAACTCCCCCAGCTCCCTGACCTGGGAGCCCTGGCTCCCCGCGAGTGCCGTCCGTGTCGCTGTCTGTCTGTGCTGGGGTGCGTGTCGTGGAGCTGCTCCTGGCCCCCACATCTGTGCCTGTGCCTGCAATCCAGTTCTGACCTCAGGGGTGGGCAGGGGGGGTGAACAGGAGGTGAGTGCCCCACACACATCCCCCCCTTGCTCCGCAGGGATGTGGGGAAAAGATGCTTCCCATCCACATCTGCTGCTCCCGCATCCCCCAGCCCGGGGAGATGCTGCCCTGGGATAAGTGCGTGGCTTGGAGAGGTGGTGGAGGCAATACAGGGCCATAGCTTGAGCTGGGGCAGCAGCAGTGCCCATCCCTGGCTGGGGCTGGGGGTCCTGCTGCCCCCCTTGCTGTAGCTCCATCCCCGCCACCAGCTCCGCAGGGCTTTGGGAGCGATGGCTCTGCTCCCGGGAGCAGGATGGCTGCTCGGGAGCTTAATCCATGAATTCTTCCTATTATAATTATTATTTGTCACGATGTTTCACTGCGTTAAATGTGTTTGAATGGGGAAAAACCAAAAACCAAACTTTTTTTTAAGGCAATGTTTTAGTTTTTAGGTGATCTTTTTAGACACTGTGCAGATTTTGAATTTGCTTTAAGAACTGGGGTTTATCCTTTTTTTAATTTTATTTTTGTCTGTTGGCTATACTAATCCTCCCAGTCTGCTCTTCAGCCCTTTGGATTAAAGACACTTAATGCGTCACCCGGTCTCTCCTCCTTGCTTGTGTGGCTGTGAAGGAACACTCAGGTGCTGCAGGCTGGTGGCTGCTCTCCTTGATGGCTTGAAGTTGTTTTTTACCTCCTAAGAGGTAAAAGAGCTCTTGGGTCTTTTAACCCAACCCAAGAGGCTGAGCTCCATAAGGTTTTCTCTGGGGATGCAGCACTTTGGTCCTTGCGCAGTCCCTTTGCTTAGGGATGGTCGGTTGAGATGTGCCTGTGTCTGTAGCTTCCTCCTTACCTGGGCTGGTTTTGGGGATGTGGGATGCAGGATGTGACCGTGGCCATGGGTGCTGCACCCGGGTGCCAGCAGGGGGGAGTGTGCATCCGGCTGTGGGTGCTCGGTGCAGGGGACTGGTCCCTGCTGTCACCTCTGTGCTGGCAGCCCCGTGTTGGCTGCTGGTACCAGTGCTGTCCATGCGTGCTTGAGCCCAGAGTGTGAGCAGCAGCTCAGGGAGGGGATCCTGCCCCTCTGCTGTGCTCTGGGGAGACCCCCCCCCTGCAGCCCTGACCCAGCTCTGGGGCAGCAGCACCAGAGGGACCTGGAGCTGTTGGAGCGAGGCCAGAGGAGGCCATGGAGATGCTGCGAGGGCTGGAGCAGCTCTGCTCTGGAGCCAGGCTGAGAGAGCTGGGCTGGGGCAGCCTGGAGAAGAGAAGGCTCCTGAAGGGGAGACCTTAGAAGATGAGGGGCCTGGCAGTGTCCAGGTTGGATGGGGCTTGGACATCGGCCACCTCTGGCAAACGGCTTGTACCTGTCAGGAGGAAATGTTTGAGTTGTCTGAGGAAAGCCTGGTAGGCAGCGTCTCCCTATGGTGCTTTGAATGCATGTGCAGAGCATGGTGGTGCGCTGTCCTTGGGCAGGGTGGAAGAGCTCAGGTTAGTGTGAGCTTGCTCATGTAATTGGTGGGACATGGGGTGCAATGGTGGCCCTGTGGGATCCCTCACCCTGAGCCTCCTGTATCCCAAAGAAATCCATCTGGAATTGTGTGCAGTGATTCTCAACGTGTAAATGGTGCTGAGCTGCATGGGGGCTGTAAACCAGGCTGTCACCTCCCCTCCAAGAGCCCCAGCCTGCTTTGTGCTGGAAGGGACCCCAAAGCTCCTCCAGCCCCAACCCCTGCCACGGGCAGGGACCCCTTCCACTGGAGCAGCTTGCTCCAAGCCCCTGTGTCCAACCTGGCCTTGAGCACTGCCAGGGATGGGGCAGCCACAGCTTCTCTGGGCACCCTGTGCCAGTGCCTCAGCACCCTCACAGGGAAGAGCTTCTGCCTAAGAGCTCAGCTCAGTCTCCCCTCGGGCAGGTTCAGACCATTCCCCTTGGCCTGTCCCTTACTGGGGATCCCTTCCTGGGGGATGCTGCTGTGCAGCTGGGCAGGAGGAAACAAAGTCAAACCCCCCAGAGGTGCTGGGAGATGCGAGCTGGAGGCGCACAAGAAGAGGAGCTTCAGTGACCTCCTCCAATCCCCCCTTGTGAAAACCGAGCAGGGAGGAGTCACCTCCGGAGCTGCCAAGTTCCAGAGCAGTGAGCTAATACCTGAAGCCCTGACAGCAAACGGTGCCTCCGCACGATGCTCTTCACCCTACCCCCGTGGAAACGTGGACGGAGCGAAGCCGCAGCGCTGGGAGGTGGGAAGCACAGGCTGGTTTTCCAGGTGCCCTTCAGCCTCATGGGGTTCAGTGTTTTGGGAAAGCAAAGGTGTTTCTAAACAAGCAATAACCCCCCCCCGGGGTTGTCTTGTGGGAGGTGAGGGGCTGAGGTTCAGGTTATCTTTGTTACCAAGAGCCTGCTCTGGGTCTAACAGTGCTTAACGACACACATCTCAGCTCCAGGGAGGATGTGTTGCCTGCAGTGTGTTGTATCTGTATTTGGGGAGGGAAAAGCAGAACAGAGCAGAGCGGGCACCGATGGCCACCGAGCTGCCTGGGATGGGAGATTGCTCCCAGGGTTGCTGGACCCCCCCCACTCCATTTTAGCATTGGGATTGAAGCTGGCACAGAGAACAGGTCTCCCATGGGTGTCCCAGCTCTGGGAACTGAAGGGGTGGACGTGGTGTCAGCCCCTTCCACCCACTGCATCTCCTTCCCACCCTCTCTGGGGGCTGTGTCCTCGCTGCATCACACCAGACTCTTCCTTTCTGTCACTGCTTTCACAGTGTCTGATGGGTGGGTAAAAACAGAGGTCTGTTTTCTGTAAAGCTGTTGGTGCTAAAAGGAATGAGCTGGGCCCGTGTGGGTGTTGGGTGAGAACAGACACTGTGCAGGGCAATGTTTTGTTGCTTCAGGTTTGAAAGCGAAGTCTTTGTAGAGCCCTAGCATGAAGTAGGTGGGAAAAGAACAGATTTGTTCACAAAGAAGGAGGCAGGAGACAGATTTGTTCACAAATCTTGCTGGCAGAAGGACAGGGTTTTTCCCACAGTGCTGTCAGTGACCAGGCTGAAGAACAGAGGAGCTGGGGGGAGCGCTCTGTGCTGTTTGCTCCCAGGTAAGCATGAGGAAAAGCAGCGTGGAGGAATCCAGTTTTGCGTGAGGGAGATGGCACTGATGCTACACATGGTACTTGGAAAGCTGCTCCAAGGGGAGCCGGGCTGTGTCATCCTTGCTATAAGGGTAGAAACCTTCTTGCATGTGAGGGTTGGTGGTCCATGTTTGCAAGCCCTGCCTGCTGCAGTGGCACCAGAGGATGGCTATCCAGAGACAGGGGGCAGGGGCAGCATGGGGATGCTCAGGACATGGGACCAGTGAAGCAGGGTTGGATTTATGAGCACCCAATGCACCCCAACACGAGTGTGTGTCCCCCCTGAAGCTGGGCTTTGGAGGCTGTGTTTTATAGATGTAGGCACAGGAGATGCCTGGGCACAAGCAAAATGACAAAAGCAGGATGCAGCTTCCTTCCTGAGGTTCGCTACCATCTAGGGCTTCCTCTGAGCTTCATTTAAGGTCTCCTTGGAGCGTTCAGGACTGCTCTCCTACTCATTTGGGTTGTGACCTGGATGCCTCTTCCCTTGTTGTGTCCTGTGCTGTGTGGAACCTCTGACTGCCCTTGCTCTTGTGATGCTGGTGCTGGGCTGGCTTCTTTTTAACCACTTCCTAAGAGCTGCCAGGGCTTGGGGAGCCTTTGGGCAGGTTCATGTCCACACCTTGTATTGGAGCACACTGAGACAGAGCTGATGGGGAGGGCCCCCCAGCTCTGCATCCCATGCTGCTGTCAACACGGAAGGGATGTGGTTTGTGCCAACAGTTCTGTCGCATCTTGGAGCTGAAGCTGCGGAATTCAACCTGAATTTCCATGTAAGGTAACCTTTTAGCATCCTCATCCTCCACGTACTCCATGTACATGTGTGTTTTGACGCAGCCGCCCAACTTCACGCATCAAGGGACTGTACGTGTGACCTGCTGACTGTGAAGGAAGATGTGAAAGATTCACCACAGCATCTTTAATTTCTAGCACTTAGTAGGAAAATAAACCCCTTCTCCCCACCCCACCTGCTTATTTTTAGCAGCAAACTTCCTGCTAAGGAAAAAAACCTCTGTTTCTCACTAGCAAGAGGATTGGTTTTTCATGTAAAGTCTGGCTCTGCTCCAGGTAGAGCATCACTGTCTGCTGCTACCTGAGAGATGAATCACGGGCATCTCCGTTTCCTTGCCTGCCAATGCAAGAAGTGGCTGCTGCTCTTGCAAGGGCGGTGTTGAGGAGCCGCATCTCCCCTCCTCGAGATGTGGTTTGCTGCCCTTTCACGGTGTTGGTCAACCCTGGACAGCCCCAGGAGGACAAAGTGTCCTCAGGGCCCACGGGGATGAGCGGCACAGGAAGGTGCGTTGTGCAATTGGGTGCGAAGCCGTTGCTGTTCTACTGATGTCCTCTGGTTTTCTAATGACAAGGATTAGGATTGAGAGATGTTTTTCTGTGCATGGCCTACCTGTGCCTGCAAGCATGGAAGCTGGCTGTAGGCTTCTGTTGGCCACATAGGCTTTGACTTAGGTTGCGTTTCTCTCCTGTGGCCCATGGTTGGCTGCTCAGCCTACGAAAGCAAAGCTTCCCACGGAAGGTCAGATGATGGCTGTGTTTGTCCAAGGCTCAGGCGCATCTGAGGGTTGTCAGGATCTCGTGCTCTGGAGCTTGGGATGAGCTGCGCTGACACAGTTCAATTAATGCTTAAAGCTGTTGGCTCTGTAAAGCAGTTTGTTAGCATCAGACTTGCTTGAACGTTGGGCTAGAGGGGTTCTGCTCACTGGAGCTGACTGTGGAGAGACAGGCAGTGATGACTGAAACCCCGCTGTGGAATTAGGTGCCCAGAAAAGGTGCCTTTCGCTATCAGCAAGAGGTGCTCTGCAGGGATCAGGTTAGAACCGGTGCAGGGGAATCCTGTGCCTCGCTTTCCCAGCACCTTTTCCAACCGGGAAAGTGAAAGCTTCCTCCCAGCTCTGACAATCAGAGCAACTCTGGCTGCCCCAGCGGTGGGGAGCTGCAAGCAGGTTACGGAGAGGGTGTGCGAGATGTGCCGGTGGCAGCAGCCAGGGTCGGCGTTGCAAAAGAGTCAGGAAATGAAGTTTCAGGTCAGGGACAAAGAACTCTGGCACTGCTGCCAGGAAGGGAGCCTCATCTGGAGCCAAGAAGGCGATTTTGTTGCTTCAGGCTGTGATGAAATGGCGGAGAGACCCTGCCAAGGGGCAAAAGGCAACAGATCACAGAAGGCAGAGGTGGAAAATGTGAACTGGCTGGGTTCAGCTGCTGAACTGCTATCTCTATCCAAGCAAGGTTTTCTGCCTATGCTGTGGGCTGGAATCTCCATCTCCTCTTCCATCAGAAAGCAGAGGGAAGTGCTTTGGTACACCTGAAGAGATGGGAACCAATTCAAGCAATTCCCTTCCTTCCTCTTGCATCATCATCTAATAATCCCAAGCGTGAGTGAGCATCTGTACCATGCTCTTTCACAAATAGATTGCCAGTTGGGATAGGACCCAAAAATGTCACGAGGTTTGTGCATCTTCATGGCATTGTGTTGTCAGCCTGCTGCTCTGTGCCCTGACAGGCACCCTGTGAGCCACCCTGGGGCTGAATTTCAGGATCAAGAGCCTTGGGATGCAGCAGCAAGCTGGGGCAGCTCTGCTCTGGAGCTGGGCTGAGAGAGCTGGGCTGGATCAGCCTGGAGAAGAGAAGGCTGCTGAAGGGGAGACCTTAGAGCAGCTCCAGTGCCTAAAGGGGCTGCAGGAAACCTGGAGAGGGGCTTTGGACAAGGGATGTAGGGACAGGGCAAGGGGAATGGCTTGAACCTGCCAGAGGGGAGACTGAGCTGAGCTCTTAGGCAGAAGCTCTTCCCTGTGAGGGTGCTGAGGTGCTGGCACAGGGTGCCCAGAGAAGCTGTGGCTGCCCCATCCCTGGCAGTGCTCAAGGCCAGGTTGGACACAGGGGCTTGGAGCAAGCTGCTCCAGTGGAAGGGGTCCCTGCCCGGGGCAGGGGTTGGAGCTGGAGGAGCTTTGGGGTCCCTTCCAACCCAAACCAGGCCGGGGCTCTGTGCTTTAGCACAAGGGGAAAGCACGCGGCTGCCCCTCCATGCTGCCGCGGGTCTCTATGGCTGAGCGTAACCAGCCCGGAGTCATTGTGAAAGCTCCTGCGTGCGGAGCAGCCGTGGGCCGGTTCTCAGCTCCTCGGCGGGCGCTGGGGCCGGGCCGGCGGCAGAGCCCAGCCCAGCCCATGGGAAAGGAGCTTCGCTGAAAGCCGGCTCCTTTCTGAGAACCGGCGCTGTGGCCGCGGGGAGCCAGCGCAGCCCCGGCTCGCCCGCTGCGGGTGCAGGCAGCGCCGCTGCTCGGCTGCGCTCAGCCCCTGCTGCGAGCTCTCTTTGCCCTTCGCTTCCCGGGCCGGTGCCTGGCAGCAGCCGAAGGGGCAGCCGGCAGCGCTGTGGGGCTCCTAACCTGCAGCGTGCAGTGCTTTGTCCCAAGAGAGGGGCTCAGGCAGGACTGATGCTGCCAGCGCTGCCTGCGCTCACTGCACTGCTCTTGTTCATTGAAAACAAGAGAACTCCTCAGCCTTGCGTGTGATCCCTGTAGGAGCCCCGTTTGCCATCCCCGCTGATGCTGAGACCACAGGCTCCAGTCTCCATCCACCTGATGTGCGCCAGACCCCCCACCGCAGGGTGAAACACTCATGGCCCTGCACGCCTCTCGCTATGAGACAGCCAGAGCTGCTGCTCCTCCACCTTACGGGTAAAGCCAGAGCACAGATGAATAAGTGTCAGGCTTAGATTTCACTTGCTCAGATACTGAAAGTGGAGCCCCATGGGGAGGGGTGGCATGTGCCAGTTCCCCACGCTCAAGAGGATGCTCCGGGCTCCTGCCCTCCCTCTGCATCCTGGTGGGTCCATGGATGCTGTCCTTGGGAGATGGAGACAAGCCCTTGCCATAAAGCAGGCCCCTGGACATGGCTGCAGTGGGCAGGGTGCTGGTGGCATCACTCCTGGCTTTTGTAATCCTGTGCCTGGTATTAGTCAGGCTCTCACCACCCAGGCACAGCTGAGATAAGAAAGTGGCATCCTGAGAAGCTGGGGCCATCCCCACTTCCCCCATGCCCCTTGGGCAATGCGTGTGCCCCTCTTCGTGCTGCTCCACGTCACGTCTTTCATGCCAAAAGCCCTGATTTCCGTCACATGCTGCTGAAATCTAGGCCGTGGAGAGGCACGAGCGGCGTGGGCTGAGTGATGCAGCCTCTTCACATTAAATAACAAGCGTTAACTGTAACCACAACCCAAAGCAGGGAAGTTCTGAAAGCTTTTGCAACTCAAAAATAGTTTAAATAGGATTTGATTGGTTTGATTTTACCATTTTAGTGCTGAAGATCCCCCTGTATTGCTTAAAGCCCTGGTCCTTGTGGCATCCCAGGAGGCTGAAGCATCCAGAGTAGATGCTCATCTTCCTCCTGCCAAGGAACGCTGTTTTTCAGCAGGAGGCAGGTGGCTCTGGTTCCCAGGTATGAGGAGGCAATGGGCTGAGCTCTCGGGGAGAAGACACCCAGCAAGGAAACCATTTGCTTCTGTGGGATCAAACCCAACGGAAAACCACCAGCTCTGAGCTGTGCGACAGTCTCGTGCTGTTACTGTAACACCCAGACTGACACTGAGATGGGCAGAAGCTGCATCAGCACTAGGTGATGGGGACGGATGCACCGTGCCGGGGCAGTGGCTTTCAGGATGTGATGGTGCCTTTGAGCCTCAGGCTGCCCTTTGGGGTGTTTTAGCGGTGGGAAAAAGCTGCTTGAGGACATGGCCAGAAATGAATCATGGGGATTGCTTCTCTGCTGGAAGCATCATTTCTCCGTGGTAGATGCTGCCTTTGGCTGCCCAGATGGCTTCTGCTGGGGTTTCCACAACAGCCTTCCTAAACCTCCCTGGAGATGATACATATCATTAGTCAGAGGGTTGTCTGTGTGCTTTTGCCCGCCAGATCAGCATCGTGATGCAAACATCCTTGTGTTTTGGTGACAAATGGCATGGGCTCCTTTGCATGGTGACCTAGCTCTGACTTCACTTTGCATGGAGTCCTGCAGCACATTTCTGCAGCCCCGTCAGCTTCCCAACCCAGTTTTGGAGGAGCAAAGCTGCATCCCTGCATCTTGCCGGTCTCCTGATGCCCCGTGAGCAGGCTGACTTCTTCTGCCTCGATTTTCTGCTGATTCAAACCACTCCTGTGGCATCAGGTACCTGGAAACCTTTGTTCTCCAAACAGCAAGAGGCATCCCATCCGCTTCCTTCCTGTGGTTACTTTAACCAGAGTGACTGAGCTTTACTGAAAACTCACCACAGCTGAGCTGATGCTGCCCTTTCCTCCGCTGGGCTCCTGCCTTGAGCTGGAGGCACGGGCTCTTCCATGTGGTGACTCGCAGAGATGCTTCTTGCTTCCCTATGGAAGAAAATGGTATAAAAGGGATGTAAAGGGGTGCAGAGGGGTGAGGGGAGCATGTGGACTGGGTCAGCATGGGGTGAAGCTTTGAGCAGTGCAGGTTTTACTGAGAACACAGATAACCTCTTGGGGCAAATTCAGCAATTGCACTGACCCATTCCGGGCTAAGTGTGGGCAGAAACACACTCAGAACTTGTCATATTGGTTTTTATTAACTGATTATTTTCTGTTTCTAATGCAGTGTGGAGTGAAAACCCAGCTGTCAATAGAGACCTGGAGTTTTGCTGTACCCCTCAAAGAGCAATGACAAAGAAAGGGGCTTCAAAGTGAAACAGGAGCATGGCCAGCTAGCCCTGGGCTGTTGGTGTCCAGTGGTTGACTTCTGGGTTTATTACTACTAGAGCCATCCCCTGTGAATCAGGGAAGGGAGGTACAGGGATTAAAGCCCTGGTGATTAGCGATGACATGCAGGCACATAACCAGCTATTTAACTGTAAGTGCTGCTCAGCAAAGGGCGATGGCTGAAACTCTTGCTGGAGTTGGAGGCTGAAGGCACCCATGGAGTACCCTGGGGCCAAGGTTTCCCTACAGTGAGAAATCCCTGCAGGTATTTTGTCAGAAATTTGCATTTCATTGTGAGCACCTCAAGTCTTCTCACTTCTGGGGTCATTAATGCAGGGATTGGACTTGATCTCATAGGTCTTTTCTGACCTAGTTGATGCTATGGTTCAGTGAATCGGTGGTGGTCCTCCTCACCTGCATCCATGATTGCTGGGCTCAGCACCTGTGCCCTAGTGCTGATTTATCACAGAATCCCAGCCTGGTTTGGGTTGAAGGGACCTTAAAGCTCCTCCAGCTCCAACCCCTGCCACAGGCAGGGACCCCTTCCACTGGAGCAGCTTGCTCCAAGCCCCTGTGTCCAACCTGGCCTTGAGCACTGCCAGGGATGGGGCAGCCACAGCTTCTCTGGGCACCCTGTGCCAGCGCCTCAGCACCCTCACAGGGAACAGATCAGAGGCTTCATTCATCAGGAGGTCTTTATTAGCAAAAATAAACAGTTTCTTTCCATACAGACAGATATTCACATGGTGACAGGAGCCGGGGCCAGGGCCCAGCATGAACCCCCCAGGAGTGGAGCTGCTGATGCTCTTGCTGCAGCTCCAGGGCTGTCCTTGCCTCTCCTCAATCTACAAAGTCAAGGTATTTGGTGGAAAAGTGACTACAGGGGTGGCTCAACAGGAGCTTAATGTGTCCCTGTACCAAAGTTAAATGAAGTTGTATGCAGTTAGCTCCCATGCTATCTGATTGCTTCCAGTGGAAGGAGCGACCAACAGAGCATCATTCCTGCTTGGAGCTGCCCTTGCTCTGGGAGAACCAGTTCCTGCATGGGCAGGCTGCCAGCAGGAATGCCCTTCTGTCACCGTAAATGTACAAATATTATAAATGCAGTATAAATAGCCTCTCTTCAACAGTAGCTTCCAAAGCAAACCAAACTGACAGTGTTTCATCACACTGATGCGCTAATACTTCTAAATATTAGAAGCAAATGCCTCTGGGTTAAGGCATTTTCCCCTGGCTCAGTGTCCTGTAGCTCTCATTGAGGGCATGCAGGAGACTGGGGAAGGGGAGCCCTAAAATCAGATGTTCTTGGGGGCACTGAAGCTGCTCTTGCTTCAGCCACCCCCCTGAAGCCCTTGGCTGCTGCAGCTCCTTGTTCATGGGCTTGGGAACAACATGAGCTCGAGTGCTGCATGCAGCTTTCAGCATTTGAATACAAATTACACAGGCCACCTTAAAATGGTGGTTAATGAAATACCCTTTACCTTCTAAAAGCAAAAACCCACAACAAACCAGCAAGTAAAACCCAATCAAAGACTGGAAAATAGTGAAGGTTAACCTTTAGGAAGTACAGAGGGGCTGACCCAGCAGCTCTGGAAGTCAGGCCTTAGCAATGGTTAAGTCAAGTTCTATTAGAACCAAACATTTCATTCTTACTACTGTATTTTTAGTTTCATCTGGACTAATCTATAGGCTGAAGTCTAGAGCAGGGATCAACTGAGCTCTTGCTGTGGCATCATCATGTGCAGGTCCTCCTTCTCCTCCACCTTGCTTTTCATGCCCAGGATTAAAAACTGCCCTTGGTTATATTTCCAGTTATTTTGCTCTATGCAAGGCGGTGGAATTTTGCATCTTTGGAGTATTTCAGTGCCTAATTCCAACAGCAGATCCAGTGACATGGTTGTGCATAAACCCATCCGACTGCACGGATAAATAGAGGGATAGAACGTGATGAGATTGCTTATTTGCTTAACATTAAACTTGTTCTGTTTCAGAGCTGGAATTGCTCCTGAGCAAGGGACCTGCTCTGCTCATGATCTGCTCCCTAGAAGGACATTGTGTTGGGTTTTTTAAAGTGAACAATAAATAGTATTTTTACAAGCTCTTTCTCCACAGGACATTGTAAACACAAACACTGAGGTATTGGAAGTAATAAATAGTAAATTCAGTTTTTAAATACTAAACTGGAAATGAGTGACCTGTAATTCTCTATTGAACCCTAAAAAATAACTTAATCTCTCGCGTGCTCGTGCAGCCTAAAGTGATCCCTGACAAACCAGCAGGGTTTGGTGTGCAAGGTGCAGACCCGCAGGCGTTGTCACTTCCTCCTCTTCATCATCAAGTACTCTTCGATGTAGTTGATGAAAATGTCAAACTCTCCCATAGCCTTGTAGACTCCGTTCTCATTCATCTGCAGGTGAAAGCCAAGTCTAAGTCTGGATGTGATGATAGAGGTGATGTATGATCGCGAGACGCAGTCGCCTTCCACCGACATCTCTGCCCAACCCCTCAGGGCAGCCTGCTCTCCAAGCATCACTCTCAGGGTTTCCCTGCCTTAGGTATCTGTATTACTGAACACCTATTCTGTATAACTGTGCTCTGTTAGGTTGAAGCCAGCAGCAAAACCTGCTGCCTCGCTTGTGACACCAGCTCCTCCCAACCCCAGCGTAGCCACGTGAGCGGGGACCTCACCTTCTCGAATGTCTCCCTGATGTGCTTTATGGTTTTGCTCCTCTTCTCGCACGTGAAGAATCTGTGCTGCAAAGGGACAAGAAGAAGGGCTTCAACCACACGGGTTTCCTTGTTTCCTTCCTGGGGTGTGCAGCACCATCTCTCCCCTCCTCCTGCCCTATGGGGCTCTCGGGGCAGTAACCGTGGCTGCTTTGCACCATGCACTGATGAAAGGAGCCCAGTGTGATCCTGCCTGGGACCCTGAGCCTTATCCCAGCCCCTTGCTTTAAGCCCTGCAGTGCTCTCTGCCCCTGGGCAGGGTTGTTCCCATCTGACTCAGCCTGTGGCACGTGATGGGGTTACAGTCACAGCAGGCACGGTTTCAGGATGCATTGCTGCAGACTGATGATGCTCCGCACCCAGGTAAGGGATGGACCCTCCAACTCCCCTCCCCTTAGAGCCTCTGAATCACTGTTATTTAAGTGATGAAAGCTGGAGAGTAGGGGCTAGGAGAAACCCCATCCCTATGGGATCTGCCTGCTCCTCCACACCATCCTAACACTCATTCTTTTGCTCCTGCTGCTGGTCCAAGACTGGCCCAGCCTCTCTGGACCACTGCTTTCATCCCCCCATGATGCTGAGCCCCACTCACACAGCGCCTCATCGTCGCCTTCAGGCTCAGCAGCAGGTTGCCCAGGTCACCCATGCTCTGCTGGTGGTGCGTGCTGGTCCTCATGGCGCTGGGCAGGACCTCCTCCGTGTAGAACCGCATCATCTCTGACACCGACTGGCACCCGAAGCTCCCCTGGGATGGAAGGAGGTAACTGCAGTGGGGCTGGCCACCAGCACTGGGGTATGTGGGTGTTGTCAGAGCACTTGCAGCACATCAGAGCCGCTTGCTGCAGCTGTGATGAACCACACATCAGCCCTGCTGCAGGCACACGTGTTACTGCATGGCTGGAGGACTGTCCTTGTGTGACATTAGGAAATGTCCCAGTTTCCAGCCTGCCTCCTTTGTTACAAAACACTGGCCAAAGGATGGTGAAGGGTAAGGGGGTTAGATAAGAACTGTAATTCTTACCTTAAAATCATCCAGCAGTTCAGAGCTGAGCAGCTGGATGCTAAGTTCGTCATCTTTTGATTGCTGTAGAAGGATGCAATGGGAACAGGAATTACTTAGACAAAAAGTCAACGCTATTTCTCACTTTGCATTTCCAAGTGATCATTTTGCTTTGCATTCATGGTCTCACTGAAGCAAAGGGCAACCAACTCCGTAACACCAGCTACAGGTGTACTGGTGTACACCGATTCCTTGGTCAATAATCATAGAACCATGGAAGGGTTAGGAACTTCCTCCCAATAATCTTGCAGTGCAATTACTGCTAGGTCAAGACAGGGAGATAATGACCTTACAAACATCAGTGCTGCTGATTTCATTAGAGTGAGGCTCCTCCTGCTGCTGCCAGTGCTGCAAACCCTCCTCAGCTGCAGAGGGTGTTGATATAAGAGGGTGTTGCTGATGCAAACAGCTCTTCATATAGGTCCCAAAGTCATGGCAGCCCCTGGGAGCCAGGCACCTGCCCCAGCCTGGCTGCTCACTGGGGCAGGAGGGTTTAATCCCCCTGGTTCTGTGATCTCTAGGTCTTAAGTCAATGGGGAAATAGGGATCTGCAGAGGGTGTTTGTTCTTGTGGTGCCTCTGCACCATCAGCTCAGGAAGACCAGAGAGCTGCAGAAGACCAGAGACCCAAAGCATCACCCTGCAGCACCAAGGTACTTACAAGCTTTCCTGAGAGGTGGGAAATGTTCCTTCCCAATATGTAGTGGAAGATTTAAATCTAAAGTCTTGGCTGTGCTCATTTGATGATAAATACAGGCTATAACACTATTCTGAGGTTTAATCTGGAGAATTGCCTTGTTTTATTGCTAAAGCACACTGACAGCAGCTGAAATAGCAGCAGTGATGTGACCAACCATCTCTATCAGTACTGATGCAGTGACAGATGCTCTGAGTATATCTTGTATTGCTTCCTCAGCAACCCTGAGGCTCCTGTTAGTCACCTTTCACAGGTACCAAAGCAAGTGCTAGTCATTGTAGTGTTTCTCCAGGCTTAAAATACCACTTTCAGGCTTTTGTGGTACTTTCAAAGGAAAAGTCTGTAGCAAAAGATTTCCCTTTTCATCCAGCATTCGCTCCAGCAAGGCTGGACCTTGTTGCCTTGAAGAAGGGACTATTTCCTTCCTATTGATTCAGTCTGCAACATTTAGGGGGAAGTCTGGCTAGTGAGGTTGGCAAAGCTTCGTTATGAAATCTCTTGAGTTCATGGTAACTAAAACTAGGAAGAAAACCTTTGTCTGTTGTCTCTCAGCAAGCAATGAAACCCAGCTTCTGCTCACCCCCATCAGCCCATCGCATAACACACAACCAAACTTGTGCTAGCAAGAAAGCTGTCTTCCCCCTCATCCCCCTCACCCAAAGCACGCAGCAGAAGCAGGAGGAGATGGGACTTGCAGGGTTGTACTCACAAAGTAATCCTTGATCTCCTCAAACTTCATCCTCAGCTCCTTCAGCTTTGCAGGCAGGAGCTCAGGGAAGTGCAGGCAGCTGGGCTCAGCCGGGGAGCTGCTGGTGGGCAGGGTGCAGGCAGCCAGGAGCAGCAAGGCCAGGGCTGAGGAGCAGGGCTGCATGGTGCGAGAGGAGAAGCTTGGTCCAGCTCTCGGCTGAATTTCCCAGGAGGGGAATCGAAGCAGATCTGCAGCCTTCACCTTGATGGAGCCCCTAATTTATACTCTCAAAACATCTCTCCATTTCCTCTCCCCATTTCCTGGCGAGCAATATTGGGGTTTTAAGTCATTCATTAAAACCAAATGTCACTTGGGTTTCCCGTCATCTTGGGTTTCCTGTTCTCTTGACCTCCCTCCTCTCCTCACACCCCATCAAATCTTTTTGTGCTTAGACTCTGCATTTTTTGTTTTTCTCATTGCTTGCTTCTTGTAAATTTAAATGTGGCTGAAGGGGAAAGCTTCAGAAATAATGCAGAGAGGACAAAGTGCTGTGTGAGGTTGTTGCTGCGTTCTCACACTGCATTTTTAGGTGAATGCCTTATTGTTAGGAGGGGATAAAGTGTTTCTGTTTTTAAACCTGCCCCTATCAAGCCTGCACTGAGGATCCCCAGCACCGTGCGTAGATCAGCAGCATTGCTTTTAGTGAACCGGCAGCAATGCACTGCCTCCTCTTCTGGCATTCTAATGCTATGCTGCAAATCCAAATAATATATACATGCATATAAAATAGATAATAATATACTTAAATCTTAAGCTTTAATAGGTGTTTTTTCCCAGTTAATGCATATACCTGCTGAAGTCAATGAGTTCACACTGCCTTCAGCAGGCTCAAAGGCTGTGCTCCCAAACTTCCGCTGGTGTTGTGTCTGCATGCTGCTGGGATTAGGTCTCTGATGGGCTAGGATGCAGTGGGAAAGCACAGGCTGGCTGGGATGTGCTGCTGCTCGTGTTCCTTAAGCTGCATGGCTGCATCCCTGGCGCAGGGTTTGAGCCGCTATTGGTGTGCAGAGCTGAAGTGTATTAGCAGGTCATGGATATTCATGTTTCTGCTTTAAAATCCTTTTTCATTTCCTAGAAATAGACCCAAACCCTGTCCAAGCAGCCCAGTGCTGGCTGTACGAACTGGGTGTACTGTGTTCACTGGGACTTATTGTCCCAGCTCTGATAAAGTTACCATTTCAGCATTGAAGAGAATTCTTCTGACGTCTCTCTTCCGCTTTCCCCCTTTCCTGCTCTCTTTGTGTGTATTGGTACTCCTCCCCCCCTGCTTCCTCGTGATAAAGATTTCACTGACAATCTCTTATCCATGAAAGAGAAAGGGGAGATAAATTTGGCTTCTCTGAAATCAGGATTTTCTCTGAAAGCTCCTATGCTATTTTGGAATAGCACATTCCTCCCAGCCTGCCTCGAGTACATTCCTTTGGACAAACCAGTTCAATTCTCATCACCTTCCCTGCATTGAACTTCCTTTGAGTTCAATTTGCAATCCCCTGTGAAGGAATTTGTTGCAAAAATAAGCTGGAAAATGCAAAGTCCTGTTTGTGACCATATATTTAGACTTACTCAGATTGTATTTTTAGGGGAGGAAGAAAGGAATGTCTGGTGTGAGTGTGTATGAGTAAGAGTAAAGGGAGAGAAACATTAGTAATCAAAGGGTTTGTTTGAGGAGGAGACACCATGGGATTTTGTGTTCTGATTTGTTTTGTTTTGTTGTTGATGCTGCCCCTTCTAGAGCAGCGGGGGAGGCCTGCTCCCAGTGAATCACTGCAGGCACACTCCGTCATCTGAATCACAGCCTGTGTCATTGATTTGGTGACCCATTTGATTTCCCCTGCTCTAAACGAAGCAGTGCAGATTCTCCCCTTGCCACCAGCAGAAGCTGTGAGAAAGGAGAAGAGCAGGAGCAGTCGATGGCTCAGACAAAAGTGGTTAATTTTAAACTCAGCCTGTGTCCACTGGGACAATCCCACCTTCCCCTGCTGGCTCCCACCCTGGGAGATTCTTTGCTTCTTTCATAGGCTCATGGAGTGGTTTGGGTTGAAGGGACCTTAAAGCTCACCCAGTTCCACCCCCTTGGCTCTTTAGGTTTCATCAAAACTGATGTGTGAAGGGCAGTGGGTGAGCTGCTGGCAGGAGCAGTGCCCTGCAGTGGGTCTGCATGCAGCCTGGAGTAAAGCTGAACCAGCTCCATAGCCCGGAGCTAAACCTGCTCCCTTCAGTGAAGGCTGCAGCCCCAGGCACATCTCTGTGACCCAAGCCCCCTGCAGCAAAGGGCTCACTCTCAGCCCCATCTGCAGGCTCAGGTGCTGGTATCTCTGTGGGATCCAAGCAAAGGGTCTTTGGCCACATGGGAATCTCGTCTGCAGGAGCCGGTGCAGCCACGGCACGGCACCCGGAGCCCTCCTTCATCCCTTCCTGCCAAGGGGCTGAGCCCTCATTTCCAAACCTCTCCTATTTTGAGCAGCCTGTGGGTCTCCATGAAGTCATTTCATTACCACCTGGAGCGGGCAGAGCTGGTCTCACCCCTGTGCAATTCCCTCCTCCCTGTTTTGGAACCTGCTTTGGGTTTGGTTTTGGTTACGAGCGTAAGCCAGATGTGTCCATTCCACAAAGGAAACTCTGGCCTGCGCGGGGCCGATACTCTGCTCTGTTTACCTGGGTTTCCTTTGCCATGTCAGAGATCTTGACGGTGCAGTTTCACTCTGACTCACTCGTGCTTACTGCTGTGGAAATGCATTGACTCCGCAGCCTTACGAAGCGGTTGCATGAATGAATAAAGCACCTTTTCCTAAAGAGTGTCCGGGGGATGTGGGTGTATTTCTGAGCCCTTTAGGAAACAGCTTTCATGTTTGCCAAGCAGATCATTTCAGGAAGGAAAGCGTGTTACTCAAAAGCCATTCATGCACTTTTACCCCACCTCCCACAGACTTCGATGGGTGGTGTGGTTCTCAAGAAATACTCCTCAGGACAAGCGGAATCGCCTTTCTGCAGTAAAGCAGAGGCATTCAGGCAAGGGCTTTTCCCCCACAGCGTGCCATGTGGAAAGCTTTGTCCTGGATGTGGAGAAAGCTAGCTGGGCTTGAGCTCTGCAGGGCTCCTGTCCTCTGGAGCAAGGTGGCATCTCATCCTTTGTGTTAAAGGGGCTGCCTGTGTGTGTAGCTTTCTTAGAATCATAGAACAGTTTGGGTTGGAAGGGAGCTTCAAATGTCATCTGGTCCAGCCCTCTAACAAGCAGGAAGACCATCAACTAGATCAGGTTGCCCAGAAACCCATCCAGCCTGGCCTTGAATGACTCCAGGGTTGTCTCTTATGGTGGTTAGCAACATGTGGGCAAGTTTGTGCATTTTCTTCCTCTTCTTGGTCTCTGTTGTTGCTTTCAGACAAAGGAACATTGTGTATTTGATGCACTATTCTAGATACAGCCATGATGGTGCGTTTCGTCCTTTCCTCTTCAGAAATTCCCCATTTCTCATCCTTCTGCAAGCAGTGACGCTTTGGGGAGGCAGGGACGTGGTGGCTTTTAATTCACCTTGTGTGAAGAGCGGTTTTGAAGCAATGGCATTTGCCCTCTTGGCAGCCCCGTTGCCGATGACTAACAGTTCCTGATGGGTGAAGCATACAGTGGACGGCTGCTTTTTGCTGGCAAGGCATGACGCTGGATTTCTCACTTCTGGAAAGCTGCTTTCTAGCACCCTTGCCAAGACTTACAATGTGAGTCACCATCAGTCCCAACAGGTAAATCCCTCTGGAAATTTAACCCATGTCATTGATGTGCCTTGTAACATCTAAGTGTCCAGAAAGAGGTTATTAATCATGTATAGAAGATGCTGTGGTGATCTCTACTGTGACTTCTAATATGACATAGAGAGAGCCTTGAGTAAGTTCTTAGCAGGTCCAGAACTTCCATTTAATCTAAATGAAGCTGGAATTGTCACCTAAAAGTATCGAGTAATGGAGACTCCCTCCCATGTGTTTGGCTGATTAATTTAACTGAGGAGTATTTGCACTCTTTTAATTGCATACCTTATTGCTCTCTATAGCTACCTGGAAGGAGGCTATAGAGAGATGGGGATCAGTCTCTTCTCCCAAGTAACAAATGATAGGACAAGAGGAAATGGCCTCCAGTTGTGATAGGGAAAGTTTAGATTGGATATTAGGAACAATTTTGTCATGGGAAGGCTTGGCAAGGACTGGAATAGGCTGCCTGGGGAAATGCTGGAGTCACCATACCTACAAGTATTGAAAAGACATGTAGATGTGCTGCTTAAGGGTGTGATTTAGTGGTGGACTTGGCAGTTGGTTGGACTTGATGACTTTAAAGGTCTTTTCCAGCCCAAATGATGATGTGATTCCTGGATTCTAATGAAGCTTTCTCAGCTGAGTTTGTTTGCAGGTAAGTTAAAGAAGGTAAAAGTATGCAAAATCCCCTGAATGTAATGGTCTGTTTTGACTTACCCAAATACCTCTTCACTGCCTTTTGTTTTGAGCATTGTGAGCAACAGAATTGCCTTGGTCTCTTGAACAGATCATTTCACAAGTGCTGTTCTGATGAGTTTCTAGTTTTGGTATTAGTGGCATGTGCGGATCTCCTGCAGAATATTGTCTTTGTCATGATTTAGCATCAACTCTCTGACCAATAATACAAGTTATTTATAACCATGAATGGTCATAAGACAGAAAGTGTTTATCATGGTTTGAGAAATCAGATAGTGCTCAGAAGCGTAATGTGACCGTCAGGGTGACTTGCAGAGGCAATTTCACTCCTTGTCCACAAAGCCAAGCACAGGCTGGCTCACTCCGTGGTGGAGTTTTGGGGTGGTTTTTCACATGGTGCTGAGGGGTTGGGAAATCCTGGGCTTTCTTTTCCACCCCACACCACGCAATGAAGCACGTGCCATGGTTGGCGATGCCACACGTGATGGCACGTGGTGCCCTGAGGGATGCTGCAGCATCCCTGGTGCTGTCGGGGGGTTTCCCACATGCCCCCACTGTGGCTTTCTGCTCCAGAATTGTTGGTGTGAAAAGACTGTGTCCCCTGGGGCTCCCCTGTGAGCCATTCTGTCCAGGATGAAGCCCAGGCTCCAAGCAGTGTGTTACTCAACCAGAGAACATATACCGAGGGCTCTATTCAACTGGAACATTTTGGAGGCTCCTCTGCTGAGCCCAGGGCAAAGGGAGCAAGTTTCATGATGCAGATTCCAAGAACAATCAGCTGCTGACACTGCCCTTCCAGAGAAAA